CCCTTCTTTCCAGGATCTGTGACATTAACTTTAACGCCTCCTTTCCTGGAATATTCGTATGCACTGGTGGCTCATCAAAGATTAACAACTGTTGCATTTCTTCAAGTCATATATCCTTATACTTGGGAAAAAATCATGTGAATACTTTAAAATATTCAAAAAGCTCTCATTATTCCGTATCTGTTATTAACTTATATGTATCTTCAGTAATCCATTTGCCTCTGCTGGTCCGACATCCTTCACAAGTGTTTGTTCATTGTAAAATTGTCAATTTTTCTATTCATATCAATTTCTTCAAACATGTTTCGAAGCACTTTGTTTATCCTCAATTTTGGATCCTTGTTTACCATTCGGTAGGGTAATTCGTATAATAGTAAAGTTTTCATTTTCTCCAAATATTTATTTTTATCCGTTAATATTGAAGCCTCTCCTCTTTATGCTGATAAAACACTTTAGCTATTCGACTTTAGTTTCCAACCTATCCTCACAAGCTTTTGATGTACCAAAGTTGTAAGAACTATTTCCGTTTCCATTTATAGTTTTTTTGTTTTCTGACATTTATGATTTTCATTACAACAACTTATATGATATTTTTCATTTTATAAGCAGCTTTTCAAGACTAAAAGTAAATCTGATATAAAAGTGGCAATTACTCCATTTCGTTTAAGGTGATGAGGGATTGACAGTTGAATTTTACCACAATTATATGAATTGACCTCATGTATATTGCTTTACCTCCAAAAATCATATTCTCATCCAGGCTGGACAGCAATTTAGACCTCGTCTAGGTCTCATCCAAACAACGAGTAGGACTCGAACCCGGCTCGTGGAAGTGCAGCGTGTTTTCTCGACACGTTAACCCCTACGCCAGACTGTCACGAGCGTCCTTGTGTCACAAGGTAGAAATGAATTTCAAGGAAGCATATGACTTTCTTCGATTACATTTCTGTTGTTGGGATGTAGATACTATATTTGCAATTACAATCGGCTATACTAAATATTTTCTGTTTTTTTATGTAGACTTTAGAGACTATAACTAGATCTTATATACGTGCGAATATTGTGTTTTGTCCAGTGTTATTGTTTTCTCCACCTTTTTCAACTTGTAAAACTATCTGGCCATCCGACTTTACTTTTAAATCTATTTTAATAAGCACGTAACCTCTTTCAATTCACCATTATGCTGTTTTCTGGCATTCTCTCCGAGACACTTATGAACTCCACTAAACAACTTCCATAATAGTGCTTTTATTCGCAAAGGCAAAATTTACGACATTCGCAACGGTTACCATGGTTTCAGAATTAAAGGGAACGGAAGATAAATACGCCATTCCAAGATCGTGTAATTTGCCAATCTAATGCGAACAAACGAGGTCAAACGAACACCAAATAGCTAAAATTACAGTCAGTCAAACTAATGCCCCATCATCTTTGCCTTTATGTCTATCAAAGAAATCTTTTAATCTAATTTAAATAAAACTTCTTTATTCTCTGCCGTATTTTACACTGTTGTATGAATTCTTTGGCTCAGCTGGTATAGAGAGGGGCTGAACAACCCTAAACTGAATATGTAATCGGCATTACTGAAAGTAGGCATGAACAGCAAAGATCTGGGAAATCTTTGACAGGCATTTATTAATTAATGAAATTAATTAGCAGTTTATGAAACTTGGCTGACTTCCAATTTATTCAAAGCTAACTGGTAGCCTTAAATTGTATTGTTTTAATGGAGGACATTTAATCTTTATTCTGGGTGTATCTTATTCCAGTAATCGGGCAAATAAAGGGTATTCGATAATAACGTGAATCTCAAGATTTCGACGCATACTTGCAACTCCTTTTATTCTGCACCATGCGAAGGTATCTACTAGACATGTGAGGTATATGTAAAAGGTTAATGCAATATTTATTTCCTCCTTAAATGCAATGACTCACAGCCTCCGGTACAATTTTGACGCTTCTACTTTTGTGATGATATGGCCTGAAAGTGAGGCCTGGAAGGCGCTGACAACGGTTCCGCCTCCGACTATTCCGAGTGATAAATAAAGTTTCGTTGGCAAAGCCTGTCCAGCTGCGCTACTGCCTCCTGCCATCTCGTCACTGCCGCTAGAGGGCGTGGCCTCCAGCTTCACACCGTCCAGGTACCAAGAGAGTCGAGCTCCAGGCTTCCCATTGGCTGCAGTACAACGTAATACCAAGAGGTCGCCGTCATCCACGATGGCTGGCACATTAGGGCCAACTTCTATGGGGGCCCCGAAACCCTCTTTGCTCAGTTGCTGAAGACGTGGGACCTCGGATGGCACTTGAAAAAAAAAGTTAAATTGTGCGTGTGTGTGTATAAACAAGAGCGAGAGAATGGTTAAGGAGGTATAAACACAAAACGAGGAGTGAATAAGTGGTTGATCAGTAGCGGATGTATATAATTGGAAGCAGGTCTCAAAGAGTGTGTTCCATGGTGTGGAAATTTCACACATATTTAATAGTATTTTATTGTGAATATTGCAGACTTTTTGTCTTATAGGGAAATAGGGAATTGACACACCTTAATCCTTAATGTTAAATGTGTACAAGTGTTCATCAAGATTTAATGAATCTATGACCTTCCAGGTATGCCTGGAAGAGAACAATTGAACAAAGTATTGTTTCTAGCCAAGAGGAGTACATCGAAATTGGGGAAAAGTGTCTAAGCAAATTTGAAAAAATAAAAGTTAACGACGCTAGAATAGGCTAGTAAACTTTAAAGTAAACAAACATAAAGTTTTCTGAACTGTTGCTTTGACAAAGGTAAAACCAGTATTAACCAAGGCCTCATCAGTGTGTGTAATGTATATAATGAGACATGATTGGTACCAAAATTCTGCCCAAATGCCCATGATTGCGAAACATGTTCCTACCACTCGAAATCCTCTAATTGTCCAGAAAGATATCATGCCGGAATTTAGAAGGGTGATTAAATGAGGCATTATGTTATTAAAGTATACTTCTTGTGAAGTCTTGGCTTGGCAA